TTATAATAACATTAATAATAGCTATAGTTTTACCACTAAAAACCTTAATTTTTTTAATCGTAAGAATTAAAACAATTAGGCATGCAGCAACCAGGCATTTCTACAAAATTCATGTAATTTGTAATGAACATAGAATACAGTATTAAAGGTTAGAAATTAATTTTTATGACATTTCATTATAATATTTATATTTTATATATTTTATATTTTTTATAACATTGTAAGTCTTTATTTTATTTATTTATGGTATTTATCTTAACAGTATATATTATGTATAATATATATATCACTGGTCATACAATTAATATATCTATATATGTTCGTTATGTCTACTATATTTTGTTAAATTAGAAACTTTGTCCAGACTCTTACTATAGGGATTCTAAGTGTCGGTCCACAATAGGTGATTTAAGCTTTAAGAAGTAAGAAATTGACCAATTATAATCGAATATGAAAAGAATAATCTACTATGATTGGTCAATTTCTTACGACTTAAAGATTAAATACTTATTGTGGACCGACACTAACAAAACCTAAAGTAAAAAGGCGAGCTCTGACTTAATTGGTTAATTTTCATCATAGTGAAAATGCGATTTCTCACGTAACATTGCTCTACAAGTTTTTGAATGTCGAATTCAGTAAAATTGTGTCGTATTTGTAATTTGAGTTTGCATGTATTAGAGTTTTAGGACGATAGTCCTAAACATCGATTAATATTAAAAATAATGGATTTCATTATTATGTTGCTGATGGAAGAAAATGAAAAAGATAGGAATAGATATCACCAAAAAAATTTAAATATAATAAGGAAAAGATTAAGGAATACAAAGATCTATTTGACATTGCGGATAATACATTTCTCAAATTGTACATTGGTATTAGATATGAGCAAATTATTTTATTTTAAATTACAATTAGGCCCTGCACATAATAGAAGAAATAGAATAGGAATAAATATTAAATATTAAAAAATATAGAGATTCATAAACATAACGCGGAATGGCTACAAATAAGATATATGACATATTTATATCAAGATACACGGTTGTGAGTAGTATATGGGTAGTCAAAACAAACCTTCACCACTTTCTCACTGGCGCCTGTGACGTGGCCTTCCGTTATCAAAAATCTGTCAGTCACGTAGAAATGAAGCCTGGTTCTGATTGGGCGTAGCAGGTGATAATTACGTAATTAATGGGAGCGTTCTGATTTGCTGAAGCCAAAGCTGCCCGGCGCGTGATTGACTCTGCCCATAGTTCCCCATGTGTGTGATTGGTTGTCGAAATGCCAGACGAAAAAGAAGGAGAAGGGGGAGAAAGTTTCTGGGACTGTTCGGAGTCTGAAAACAAAATGGCGTCTACGAAAAAGAAAGATGGCAGATGTGTAAAAGAAATATACTTGATAAGAATGGAATGCGATTTTTATGACACGAGGGATGGAGGAAAAGAAAATTGATTTTTTGCAGGTTTTTATTACGTATATATAAAATATGATAAATCATGTTTTCTTAGGACGAAAGGTTTCTCGGCGCCTCATCGCTAGCAAATTTAAATAAATTTCTCGAATTGTTTGACATTTTGTATGGAGAAAATGTATAAATGTCTTGAAGACGAGAGGTTTTCGGAATGTAATAACCATTAGAGTTATTTACCAAATCGTATGGTATTTGGGAGAGGAAAACAGGAACAGACAGGTTCGCACTAGAAGTTTCTGATGACGACAAATTTGGAGTTATACGAGGCTTTTATCTTATAACAAACATGTTGAAAAAATTTTGTAGATATTGTAAGAATTAGACGATCGTAAGCGGTCATAAAAAGAGATTCGGAATATAAACAGCTAACAGAGAGGAACCGTCGTGGTCGTGCAGACTAAGTGTCGGATTGGTAAGACGAGGGATCCCGAGTTCAAATCCAGTCGGTCTCCGTTAATTTTTCCGAATCTAATAGATATCTTCAATATAAAACTCTAGATTTTCTAACATGGAATTATACACTAGGAAGGTTATTTCCTTAATTCTATGGCAAACAAACGAAAATA